AATTAGTATCGCTATATTAATCGAGAGGTAAGGAATCTAATGTAGTTATCGTATTTTAGCTATACCCCTTAGTCGTAGAGATGTAATAATCGCTAGCCCGAAGGCATAAGAGATAAGGAAAGAAAAGGAATAAAACGTAAAAGTTACTTATTCGGTTATAGCGGTACGACGAAGTAACTTAAGCGCTTATAATTAAAATAGATATACTAATCGGAAAACGACGAATCTAATGATAAAAACGAATCTTTAATTAAGGTAAAAATAATAAAGATAGTAATCTGGCTAGGTAATGAACTAGATAATAAGTATGGCGTATCCCGTACTTACGGGTACTATGGTTACTCTATATAGGCATAAGGCCTATCGTAGCGTATCACGTAATGCATCAAGAGGGTATGTCTTACCGCACTACTACATTACCTAAAAAAGAGGCGAGTTCTAGTATCTCTATAGCTAAGTCATTTTAAATATCTACGCTAGTAGTCTTCGACTTTACTATGCCTACCGGCTTAATTAAAAGAAATAATAACTAGGTATTTAGAAAAGCGGTACCCGGCGAGATAATATCCAGTATAGTTAAGGTAGTCGTTAATTATATCTCTTTAGCCGCTATTTATCTATATTTAACGGCGTCTTAATTTAGCGCTTCCTATTCCTAGGATTACTTATAAAAGAACTATACTAATTTTACGTCGAAATTCCTACCTATTTTAGCTACCTATTTTAAGGTTAGATAAGTTAACGACTTAAGGACTAACTATTCCTAGTAAGTTAGTTACTACTCCCGGGGAGCCTTATAAGGCTATATATAATTAAGGCTTCCGTACTTAAAGTATACTCTTTCTCCGCGCTATAAGACCCGAGAACCATTAACGATCGGATGCTTCGACGTCTTTTTATTAGGAATAACTCGGGATATATTTCCAGAACCCTAGTTACTATCATTACTATACGATTGCTATCCTTATAAATACTACTAAGGCTACTACTATTAACCATTAAAAGCATAAAGTAAAGCTAACTAAGCTCCCGGAACCTATTAAAACTATTATATTAGGCCCGGATTCGGGTATGGATAAGGAGGATACGGTAGATAAGCCGTAGGAACCGGGTAAGGTATAGTTTATTATACTCGTACGTATAAAGGCGGAGTGTAATGGGCTATGCCTATAGTAGGGCCCTGGCTAGTGCCAGGGCTTAGCACGTAATTAGTACCCACGGCGGATAAGGCCAGCTATCGCAAGTACGGCCTATAGGGCACACTTTCTTCCTTTTTCTTTTCGTCTAGCTTTAGTTTATTAATATACGGCTTTTACCTAGCGAACAGCTCTTAAAACCGTAATAAAAAGCTAGACTAACCTTCTTTTATCGTTTTACGGATTAGTATCTTAGCGAGCGGAATTAGCAATAGGAACGGCGATATAATACCAAAGGAAGCGGTAGCTAGCAAAGTCAGCAGTCGGAAAGGCGGTATTAGTTTTAGATACACGCGCCGGCAGCACCTACGAGAGATAACCGACGATAGCAGCAGACTAGCATATCTTAATACGCAGGATCAGCAGTAGGAAAGGCGATGCTAGCGTTTACGCCGGCTAAGTTAGCAGTTGGAAAGGCGGTATTAGCTTTTAAATATACGCGCCGGTAGTAACTACGGACGAGGACCGATATAAAATAACCGAAGAAACGACCGATAGCCCCGAGAAAAAGTAGATTTAAACGGTAATTTCGAGATAAGAACGACGAAAAATACGGCTAAAAACGGCGGAAAATTTTTTTCCGGAGAAAGATAGTAGAGCGTTAGAGCATAGCGCTCGACGCGAGTTAAGAACGCCCGAAGCGTAATATAAGGAAGGAACGGCGTTAGAATAGTAGGAAATACGACAAGGTTTCGGTTAAAATAATAGCACTTCGATAAAGGCGCTAGCGGCGCTAGTAGTAAACGGGAGGACGCGCTCCCGCGCGCCCTTAGGCGGAGCCCTTTAGACTCCGCTAATAATATACGGATAAACGATAGTCTTTAAACGAGTAGGAACGGCGTACCTTAGCACGTCCTCCGGCGGAGCCTCGCGGCTCCGCTAATAATACGGATAAGCCCTTAGCCTTTAAACGGTAGGAAAGGCCGTAGGCCTTTTAACGGTAGTAGATAGGAGGACGCGCCTTAACGCGCTTTTAAGCGGACCCCTTTAAGCTCCGCTAACGAACGGAAGATAAACGATAGTCTTTAAACGAATCGGACGGCGTACTCTAGTACGTCTTTTAGTAGATCCGACGGGATCCGCTAGCGGAAGATAAACGAGGGTCTTTAAACGGCGGTAAACGAACCGACGATCCCGTAGCTACGGAAGCTAAACTAAACCTAATAAGCGCCGATAACGACTTCGTACGCGGGGCTTTAAAGCTTTACGGTTTAATAAAAGGATCGGAACTAGCCCCGGGGAATAATAATACCCCGGGGAACGAAGATAATAGCCCGGGAAGCGGATAACGTAACCCGGGAAACGAAAACGGAAGAGGAGGAGATCCCGGGGAAAAGTAGGACCCGGGGAAAGAGCGCCGGGGGGCTAAAAGCGCCCGGTATAGTACCCCGGGAAACGAAAGGCCCCGGGAAGGAAACGGCGGAAGAAAAGACCCCGGGGTATAGTATAACCGCCGGGGAGGAAAGGAAGGAGGCTATACCCGGGGGGCATTAATACCCCGGGAAACGTACGAACGGAAGAAGGCCTAGGAATATATTAGTACTTTAAGCGGCGGAGTTAGTAACCTAGGGAGCGAATAACGTACCCCGGAAGGCGGAAGTAGCAACCCGGGAAGCGAGTAACGTACCCCGGGAGGCGGAGGTAGCAACCCGGGGAGCGAGTAGCGCACCCCGGGGGACGGAAGTAGCACCTAAGGATGCGGTACGTATCCTAAGGCACGCGGAGAAAAACAGGTTAGGTTATCAGGGTTAAACGCCGAAGAAAAGGGCGGTAGGGCGTACTTTTTTTTTTCCGGGAAGGGACCTTATATAATAAGCTATACCTATAGTAAAGCCCTAGCTAATACTAGGGCTTAGTACGTAATTAGTACCTACGGCGGATAAGGCCAGCTATCGTAAGTACGGCCCATAGGGCATACTTTCTTCCTTTTTCTCCTCGTCTAGCTTTAGTTCATTAACATACGGCTTTTACCTAGCGAACAGCTCTTAAAACCGTAACACGGAGCTACTAAAGAAGGTTAGGATAACGTCGTAGCGGCGACCTTAAAGGCTAATACCTAGTTAGGATATTCGTTAGCGATAGCTTATTTAACTAATAAGCTTATCTTCTTTATAATGAAGCGTTTTATTAACGTTTCTCGTTCTTTTAGTTATTACTCTTTAAGTTATTCTTTCTTAAGGTTTACGACCTTCTAATAGCCCTATATTATACTATAAGCCTCCTAAAGGGCTCTAGATACGTAAGTAACCTTTTTAAAAGCCTCCCTTTTTAGGTCGAAGTTTCTTAAGCTATTTACGAAGCGTATAATTACCGACTTAAGTATATAGGTTTTAAGGATAGTTAGGTTATCGGTTCCGTCTAAGCGTAAGACTTAGGGGAAATCTCTCGAACCCGTACGCCTTAATAAATCCTAAGCCTTAACGTAATAAAACGCGAGGGATTCTTTTAAGCCTTAGGAAATATCGACGATTTCGTTTCGTAGGTTCGATTAATTAGCCGTTTTAAACGGAAATCTCTTCCTTAAAAGCTATTAAACCATAAGTAAATCGTTCTAGGTAGTTATTCCTTGCCCCGCGAGGTCTAGAGCTCGCCGGATACGAGAATTACGATCTAAAAAGGCTACTACCTCTCCTTTATATAAAGTATCTATAGCTTAAAGTATATTAAAAGCTAGTAGAACTAGGTAGCCGGCTAATCTAAAGGCTTACGTAAATAGTATAAGCTATTTGGATATAGCCTTACTACCGTTAAAACGGCCGTATACCGTTAAATCGGGTAGGGCTTACGGAGGGATCGGTAGGGGAGGCTCCTAAGGGTCGGTTATTACGGATAATAACGAAGTTACGGAAAGTAGCGAAGAGGGCGACGAATTCGATAAGCGAGGAAGTAGTAATACGTTTTCCTCTAAAGGAAACGAAGATAACGACGCTAATAACGATAAAGGGGATTATTCTAACTATAATGGATCTATTATTAGATTTAACTATGCTTTATTCAAAGGTCCTAATACCTTTATTTCCGACGTTAATTAAAACTAAGGGGATATTCCACGGGGAACCTCCCTTAGGTTCTCTAGGTCCTATAAAAGGTCGTCTAGTTCGGGACTTCCGGAATTTAGTAAAAACCTAGTTACCCTCGCTAGGTAGGGATACCCTATAGCGAGGAAAGAATCGGTTAAAGCTTTAAGAAGCTCTAGGTTTCGGCTATAGATAGTAGCGATATGCGGTACAGGTAAAGGGAAACTACTTTCTCCTTCCTTCGGCATGTTACGCCGGTAAATAGTATCGGTAACGAAGGGACTAGCGTACCCTAAAATAAGGCCCGAAAACGAACTAGGAATGCCTCTTTTTAATAGAAAACGACGAACTAAAGTATTACCTTTTAATAAATAATAACGAACCAGAGGTACTCTTATACGAGTAAAACGAACTATCTAGATCCTCCATACGGAGAGGTTAAAATGGAATAAAATAACGAGAAAAACGGCTAAGCGTATCCGCGATCTAAATGCCTCCTTTCTACCTAGGTTCGATTACTAGCTAGATAGAGTATAAAACGTACTTGATTCCTAAAAACCTCCTATCTAGGGCATCCTTACTAAACAACACCCTTTAACTCTTACGGCTTGCTTATATAATACGTATTACATAATAAGGAGGGCTCCCACTTAGCTACCCCCATTTGGTAGGTACCTAGGTAGTACATATAATCCACACCGCCCGGCATTAAATTTAGTAGCTGCTAAGTAATTTTCTATTCACGGTGGGAATGCTGATAAGATTTTATTAATACCGCTCGTCCACCATGGCTTTCAAGCGCAAGGTAAACGACTTCATCTATACCTTATCGGATAACGACGAGCTCTCTAGCCCAGAGGAATTCCTTCCCGAGTCTCCCCCCCCCCCAAAAAAGGTCAAGAGGAACAAGCAATCCGCCTTAGTTGACCATGTCGAAGAGGACAGCGTCTGGGGGGGGAAAGAAGAGGATGATGGAGCTATGGATTCAAGCTTTGAATTCGCGGAGAATGGCACTGTCGATTTCAATGCGGAGGACTTGGAAGACTGGTGCTTCGACGGTGCGAAAAAGAGCATTGTTGGGTTAGCCACGAGGAGGATTGTTGACGTGGATGAGATTGTGAGACGAAGGAGAGGGACTGGCGAAGGCGTAGACGTCGACACGAATTGCGGGACAGAAGAGACAACCTATGAAGCCAGCGATGAAGAGGACGATATCGACCTCGACGACCGGTTCGACGAGGTTCTAGCCGCAGACGGGTTTGGTATGGGTGCAGCTTTGGGAGAAGAGTCGGGAGGGGAGATTGCAGAGGAGCAATCGGGCCAAGAAGAGCAAGACGACGACGCGTCCGATGATGATTCTGTTGCGACGCCCGTCGATCACCCCGATGACGCTGTAGAATCGGACGACACGGGTGACCGGGAGGACCCCGAGGAGGCAGCAAGGAGAGAAGCGTTCTTTGCGCCCGAAGACAAGACGTCACACGCAAAGCAAACCGGGAAAACATCTTTCCAGAACATGTCATTGTCGCGGCCAATTCTCCGAGGCCTTAACTCTGTTGGTTTCGGTGAGCCCACCCCGATCCAGGCAAGAACGATACCGCTTGCGCTAGAGGGCAAGGATCTGGTTGGCGGCGCCGTCACAGGATCAGGAAAAACCGCCGCCTTCGTCGTACCTATCTTAGAGCGGCTCCTGTACCGGCCGAATAAAATACCAACGAGTCGAGTTGTTATACTTACACCTACTCGGGAGCTTGCCATTCAGTGTCACGCAGTCGCAACCAAGCTTGCGAGCCATACGGATATTAAATTCTGCTTGGCTGTGGGAGGGTTGAGTCTCAAGGTCCAAGAGGCGGAGCTACGCTTACGGCCCGATGTCATAATTGCGACGCCGGGCCGGTTCATTGACCATATGCGGAACTCGCCGAGTTTCTCAGCAGATACGGTAGAGATCCTTGTTCTCGACGAGGCTGACCGTATGTTGGAAGATGGGTTTGCCGACGAACTGAATGAGATTCTCTCCGCCTTACCCAAGTCTCGGCAGACCATGCTATTCTCAGCTACTATGACATCTTCCGTCGACCGACTTATTCGCGCCGGCCTGAATAAGCCTGTGCGAGTCATGGTAGATTCTCAAAAGAAAACGGTTGATAAACTGGAGCAAATGTTTGTTAGGTTACGGCCAGGCCGAGAGGAGAAGAGAATGGGCTACCTTATACAAATATGCAAGACGATGCATACCGAGCGAGTTATCATATTCTTCAGACAAAAGAAGGAGGCTCATCGTGCTCGGATTATATTCGCTCTATTGAATTTATCTTGTGCCGAGCTCCACGGTAGCATGAACCAAACACAGGTACGTTATCTGTGATCCTGTTACTTACACGGGATTCTGACCGACTATAGCGTATATCAAGTGTGGAAGCATTCCGTCGTGGCAAAGTCTCCTTTTTACTGGCAACCGATCTGGCTTCCCGAGGACTCGATATCAAGGGAGTGGAGACAGTCATTAACTACGAGGGGCCCCAAACTCTCGAAGTGTATGTACATCGTGTGGGACGTACCGCGCGGGCGGGTCGTTCCGGTGTTGCTATAACGCTTGCTGCGGAGCCGGATCGCAAAGTGGTGAAGGCGGTAGTGAAGGCGGGAAAGGCACAAGGCGCCAAGATCAGCAGCCTCATCATTGACCCTGGAGAGGCTGACAAGTGGCAAGCTAAGGTGGAGGCAATGTCAGATGAGATCGAGGCTATTGCCAAGGAAGAGAAGGAGGAGAAGCAGTTAGCGCAAGCCGAGATGCAGATCAAGAAGGGAGAAAACATGGTAATGCACGAGGAGGAGATCAAGTCGAGGCCCAAGCGGACGTGGTTCGAGACACAGCACGAGAAGAAGAAGGCTAAAGATGCGGGTAGGGCTGAACTGAACGGGTTCAAAGAGTCGCTCAAGAAGAAAGGGGACGGCAAGCTGAGCAACAAGGACAAGAAGAAGCTTGATGCGAGGTCTGCTAGGACTGAGGGTATGTGGAAGAAGGGTTCTGCTGAGAGGGGGGGCAGGGGGGCGGTCCTCAACTTCAAGGGCAACGGGAAGAAGAAGGCCCGGAAAGATGGAAAGGTGAAGAAACGGTAACCCAGCCTCGATTAATATGTTGCGAGGGTGAAATTACCATAGGAGATGATAATAAGACCAGTGACGATGGGCAATAAGGCGTTGCAGCCCCCTCTAGCGAGTGCGTATGCGTGTGGTTCTGATGTGTATTTAGACGGCCTAACCCTATGTACTACTAATGGATTGATGCGGGACGAACTGAATATTCCATAACCACGAGTAACGTCAGATGCTATGATTAAACATAACCATACTAGTTTCCCATGAGAAAAGGGAAGATATTTTTATCAAACGACTACCTATCTAGATGAGTAGCGAGTCGATATAGCTTCGCAACCCCTTACTTGCGCAATGTGCCCATACCCACCTACCTCTTGGGACATTCACACCGGCAGCTGTGTTGCGAGGTCACAGCGCAAGTACCCTCTGATGCGCCGCCTAAAGTACATGTCTCACCCACATACACTATCGTGCCTAAGCAGGTAGGTACCTCTATAGGTATGTCACCAGGTTCAATGCAACCCCTCCGACCTCTAAATGCACCGGAGATTAACTAAGAGCGAATGCTACCTCGGGGCACATTAGCTCCATTGCCTATGCCACGGGCACTTCGCCGTGTGAGAAGCGTTCGGCACAACTTTTCTCTCGACGGCGTCATCTGATTAGCCAGGAAGGTTGATGCACCACCACGCCTCGATACACCTTCAACCCCGCCAGTACTCCATTTCTGCCGTACCCATGTGTTGATTTAACTGGCCATTGCTCCATTGCTCCTCGATCGACATTCCGGGCCAAACTGACCCATCGACTACCCGCCGCCGAGTTTTTGAGTCACGCTGCGAATCATCTCCAGCGAGTGTCACCAGCGAGCATCACCGGCGAGCATCACTAGCGGCGAAGACTAGCGAACGAGCACCTGCGCTGCGGCGGTGCCTATCTTCATATGGACGGCGTGCACGGCATAAAACGGCGTAACTAGCGCCCACCGCACCGAGAGGGCGAGAGGGACCGGAAGGACAAATATATAAATCACTTCATCATACGCGCTTCACCTCGCCTTCTGATCCTCCCGTTCTCCTTCCTCGCAACCCTCCTCTGAAGTGGCCCCCCCTCGTCGATTCGTGCTCCCACGCCCGCATCCCCACCGTAGGCAGAGCCTCCTCCAGTACATATTCCCGCGTAGCCTGCGTGAACGTTACCGAGAACGCCTTATAAGCTTTCACCTCGATACTTTCCCCTACTACAAGCATCATATTCAGAGCCGCATCTACCGTTTCATCCTTGACCGTCAGCGCCGTCGCCGCGGCCAGCCGCGTCTGGTCGACTACGTGCGGCGGCTGCTTCTCGGTCTCACCGGCTCCAATAAGGATGCGAAGAATGTCGCAGGGACCCTTACCGGCAAAATGACGTCTGTGCCGGGATATGGAACCGAGAGGGGAGATCTCGGCGCAGAAGGTGGCCGGGAAAGGGGAGCGCGTAGAAGGATACTTGCTGCCATGGCCGGAAGTGTGTATAGGGCTGGCGCGTCGGCGGTGAACGAGATCAAGGAGTCGTATTACCAGACCAAGATACAGGACATCGGCACGCCGGGATCTCCGAAGACCACTATTCCGGAATCATTCCCCCACGTTGCCGTCGTAACTAATGGCAACGAGCAGATGGTTTTGTTTCCCTCGTATGCGAAGAGGCATGTGAGCCAGCGGTCAAGGAAGATGGATAGCCCCGGAGGGTCACCCTACTCTTCGCCCGTAGACACAAACGAACGAGAATACTGGAGGGGAGACTTGCCCCAGCACGAGAACGAGGACGCTGTCGTCGATGTCGACGTCCGAGGTTGGATATACAACCCGCATAGAGAGCCAATGACGCGTGGAAATAGGATATTAGTCGGTCTGGCAAGGCAATTAGCCGGCATACCAGCCCCAAGGCTGCAGCAGGCTGGCGCGTCGACCAATACGGAGCCTCCCCTCCCTAGTACGTATCGCCAGCGCGAGGAGGATATCGAGCGTAATAGAATCGCGAGGGAGGCTAGGGAGATCGAGCGTAGAGGACAGGCGGAGGAGGAGGTTGCCCAAGTGGGAGGCTACAGTGAACGCCCGAGGGATGAAGATTCCGAGGGCGAAGGCAATCTACGGTACCACAATGGAAGAAAGCAAAATGGTAGCCAAACGCCCCCCTCGCCGGCATCTCCTGTGCTTGGGGCCCGCACAAACACCCCCGGAGGCGCCGACCTCACCAATGCAGAGCTCGCGATAGCAAACGCGAATCTGATGGCTCGCGTCTCGCCCTTCTTGACGACTCCGTTGGTCCAGGTGCCGATCACGTTATTCTTCTACAATGATTCGCAGTCGCAATCACGCACCGTGTTCACTGACGAGTCGGGACATTTCACGGTCAGGGCAGCCCTCGAATTCGTACCAACACACGTCCGTGTATTGGCGAGCGAGGATCTCTCCGCCACGGAATCCGTAGAGATCATAGAACCCAGAGGGGTCAGCTTAATCAGCGACATCGACGATACGGTAAAACGCTCCAACATCTTCCTCGGCTCCAAGGAGATGTTCCGGAATACGTTCACCCGCGACCTAAACAGCCAAACCGTCGACGGTGTTAGCCGCTGGTATAACGCCCTCCAAGACCTAGGTGTACGAATACACTACTGCTCCAACAGCCCGTGGCAGCTCTATCCTGTCCTGGCCACGTTCTTAAAGGTAGCCGGCCTACCCCTAGACTCGTTACACCTCAAGAGGTACACTGGCATGCTTCAGGGAATATTCGAGCCCGTGGCCGAGCGGAAAAGGGGTACGCTGGTAAAGATCATGAAGGATTTCCCGGAGAGAAAGTTTCTCCTCGTTGGTGACAGCGGCGAAGCAGACCTGGAGGTGTACACGGAGCTAGCGGTTGCATATCCGGGCAGGATTCTCGCTATCTTCATCCGTGATGTTTCCACGCCCGAAAAAACAGGCTACTTTGACTCCGGGTTCAGTGTGCGTGAGAACCGCAATTCTCCAGGTGGCTCGGGCACTCCTCCGGACCAAGAATCCGCAAATGAGCTGTTCACCAAACCTCCGTTGCCTTCTCGAGCAGCGACCACGCCGAGGGTCAGCGGGACTGTCTCGGGCGATTTGATCGACCTCTCCGAGAAACCAGAACCACCTCGCCGGACTCGGACCTCACGCGCGGAGAACCCCGAGATGCCAGACTCTGCGAGATCAAGTACACGGGCGACAGATCTTCTCGCACGGAGGCCCCCCCCCAAGCCGGCAAAGCCGAGTTCCCTACAGGGAACTCCAGCCCTCGCAATGCGCACCACGGACGGACCTAGTAATACGGGCGAGATCAACAAGAAAACCCTGGCCCCTCCTCAACCACGTAAGACCAGCCATGCGAATTCTCAATCCGCTCCGGGCAAGGCCGTCTCACCACACCCCTTAACACAAATGCAAAACTTGTCCGATCAAATCATTGGAAACGAGAAGGTTCGGCTTGAGAACAACCAGAGAGGTGGCATAACTCTACCCGTTACTCCGGGTTCCGCGCCTTTGCCAAGAGGCATCATGCCACCCCCACCGCCGCCTCGGCGGCGGGGCCCGCTGTCCTCCTCCGAAACCATTACCGCGACAGCGACGACCAGCACCATTGGCCTAGTCACCCACATCGGCCCAAGGACGAGCCCTCGCCCTACAATCGGCAACCGTCGGTTAGCCGGCAACTCCGACCTAGACTCGTTGGACAGCCTACAGCTGCCTCCGGCGGTGGCGCCTGACTTCTCGGCATACGACGGACGTAGCAGCAGCAGCAGCGTCAACGGTGGGAGTCTCGGGAGCGGGGCGGCGAGCCCAGTGGCAGGCATGGGCGCGCCGAACAAGAAAGCGGATCTGTGGCTCAGGCGACTGCAGCGGGCGCAGGAGGCTCTCGACCATCAAGGCGTGGTGCTGTACACGTGGCGCCGCGGGGACGAGGTCGTGAAGGAGGCGGTGGGTATCGTAAAGGCTTGGCTCCTGGAGGAGGGTGGGAGGTGACGATGGATCAAACCAGTCGAGGACGGTAAGGAAGGAGGGGAGAAGAAGATGAGGAGGCACTGTGGAAAAGAAAGCTAAAGAAAGTGCGAGTATGCATATAGGTATAGGGAGTAAGGATTGTATGAACAAGGCGGTACGGGTGGGTGTGGTAAGTAGTCGGCGATAGCTGGCGATGCATGTATGTACATAACACAGGAGTAGGCGGCGTGGGGTATCCGTATAGACAGGGCAACTGACTAGTTCCGCTTTCTTAGAAAACAAGCCGTATATGGCAAGGGGAACTATATATATGCCGTATCGTGCGCTGTCGAACTGCTCGTTTGGGACGTACCTAGATACACAGACTAATAGAACATGGTAGGTATTACTAAGGTAAGAGGGACATGTATATATCGGGCAATATATGAGGGGGGTTGGCTTTGAAATTGGTTAAGTATATAATAGCCGGCAATATCCCGCGTCATCTACGCACTCGAGAGCGTTCCCCTACGCAAATCGTGTTTAGGGCTAGTTCTGCCTTCTGCGTATCAATTGAACTCGTATGGACTTGTCCGCTGTTATTCCTGCCACTTAGGGGCGGTATGGTTCGAATCCGCGCACTTGGAACGCTATCGGGTCCAACTCAACCGATTATGTGAAATTCTCTTCAACCCTAGGGTGCCAAATAACTACTTATACTCGAGATGGGCCATAGTGGTAGCCTCGCAGTGTTACCTCAACAATCGTATCTCGCCCATGTCGGGTCTTATTGCAGCTTAGCGAAACGCCTACGGCCTGCAAATAAAGCAACACGGAGATGACGAGCTTTAACTTGATCTCTCTTTAACTCTAAGTTCATTCCTCCTCTAAGGATTTTCAAATTAGTTGCTGATGATATGGTGGGCCAACCAGGTGGTTTTGCTCTTTTCGACGAGACTTTACGGTGCTCTGTCTGTCCCCCGCCCCCGCCCCTCCTCCCCCCCCTTTTTTGACTAGGGACGGAGAGATAAGTAGTGGCTTTCATCGCGAGCTCACCTCCTTGATAACTAGGTATCTAGCGAGAGGCCCCTTCGGGTGGGTCTGGATTCCCGGTGGCTCGTAGCCGCGGAATGACTTACCGAGACTTTTGGCGATCTAGACTTGTATGCGGTCCCCCTGGGGAATCTCGGAGAATACTCTGGCGGGGTCCATGGTTCCCTGTCGCTTCTCCTACCTCACGCCGCAGCCGGTAGGGTAGAAAAACTCGTACTTGGAGCAGGCGCGGCGCACGGCCTCAGGCGCTGAGCTTAGACTCCGTCGACGCGGCGTCCTTGAGGGCGCTGATGTCCACCATCGGAATGGCATCGGGCCCTGTCATCGGAGGGTTTCTCGAGGCTACCTATTTTGTCTCCTATCTTCGAGCTTGAACGAATTAATTTCCTATGCCATCGACCGTCGGTTAGTGTTATGGGTTTGCTGCTACTGCTTTTCCTTGGGGCGGGCGCCTTTCCTGTAGGCAGGCAGGTAATCACTACACGGGAAAAGCGATCGCGAAAAGAGACCATGTGCCCTTATGAACCCAGTAATATCTGCTTGATCTAAACACCCACTCATACGAGTATAAGGAATGCATTCGGCAGCGAGACAGTCTGCGGGCTGGTACGGCGGTTCGATGTCACTAGGAGAAACTGTAGACATACCTCTAAGACATACCTAGGTATAGGTAGGTAGGTAATAAGATGCCCTCTTCAGTCGACCCAATGTCGCTGTAACTGTTGGCTGAGAAGGGAATCGTTATCCCGTGCTGCCCTCTTTCCCCACGTCCCTCCCGGCTCAACCAAGCCGGCTCATGCAACGCTAGGGTCAGACTCGTCTAGGGTCCGGGTCAGCCGAAAGGGGAGAAACTCCGTACCGAGAGGCCGAGACCGCGCACACCACAGGTTTTCCGGATATTCCTCATCCCTGGACTGTACGAAGAAAGGATATGACCACACCCTAGAGCTCTTCACTCCGTTTTCTGAGGAAAGACTCGCCTATCCTGTTTATCCTCCCCCCAACCCTCGGGCGGCTGAATCGGTTAAGTTGACGCGGCGCGATCCTGCAAACTGCCTCGGAGAGACCCAGCCTTCCTCCCTGCGCCCGTGGCGCGGAGTAGGAACGTTAACGATAAGGGATTGCAACGGGCCAGCAGGTCTAAAGGCTGACGCGAGCGGTCGCTCGTCCAATTGATTCTCCACACAGGTATCTCCGAGCAGGGGACCGCAGGATAAGCCTCCGAGACTCCGATGGACTAAGTCGGGGGACTATGTAAAAGCCACGACGTTTCCATCTTTCATCATCAACATTCGTTTCCTAGATCTATTTTCTATCTACCACCACTACCTAAGACCTTGTTCGTCTTCCTGCTGGACGAGCCCCCTCCAAGTCTCTCTAGACTAGGCATACTTAGCCGTTGAAGGGTCATACGGCGACTATAGGTCTCGACAGGCAGTCCAACATACATACCACTCGCTCACCTTTCGTATAGCATCGAACCCAGGCTGTAGCGCCGCTCCCTTGCCTTCTAACCTATCTGGCACACCGTTTTGTCGTGCGGCTCTCGTCGGCTTTATTGTGAACCTCGAAACCAAAAGGGCCGGCCCGTACGTTCGCATACGAACAATGTCTCAGCAAAAGCTCCGCGACTTTCTGGTTCAGATCCCGGACAGGCCAGGAGTGCTGGCGACGCGTGTCGGAAACGTGCCGGCGCACATGGAGCGGCTAAAGGGACTGATCGAGGCCGGGACGATAGTGATGTCGGGGCCGACGCTGGCGGCGCACCCAGCTGACGGCGAGCAGGGACTCCCCATCAACGGCAGTGCGCTACTGATTCGCGCTACCTCCGAGGCCGAGGTGCGCACCGTTCTCGCTGGCGACGTCTACGCCCGTCTTGGCGTTTGGGACCTCGAGCGCGCTACCGTCACTCCGTATTTATGCGCTGTCAGAAAGCCCCTGTGAGGATAGAATGGAGATGAGGCAAAGAGGACGGGTTTAGAGCTCTTGGATAGGGAGAAGGTACGGGCTTGCAAGCGATCAGTTATTACTTTGGGCACGTAGTTATGGCGGGCTACTCCTCGCCCTTCGAACACGAGAGCCGGACGTTTCCGAGAACAATAGGTACATTAGGTGTCTGAGACCGATTGGTGGGGAGCAGTTGTATTTAAATTGATTACCTATAAGCGTCTATCGCAAAACAAGTATTTACGCCAGCTTTCATCTAGGTACCCTTATATTGCTGATCCTGATATGATCGGAACCGGCCTCTCTTAAGAGTTGGGCGTTGGAGAGTATACCCATACCAAGGAAACATCTGTGCCGCAGCTAATTTCGTATTAATAACATGCTAGGTAAATTGTCTATTAATTACCTATGGCAGACTTAGGAACTTCAGCCTAGTTGGGCTATCTCAACTCAGGCCTTTATATTGAGCGCGATACCGGACCGGTAGATTCTTAGGGCGGTGTACAGAAGGCCGGCGAGGGTGGCTGCCCCTCCGCCGAATCCCCATAGGCCTGCCCATCGCAACGGCTTTGTCCCGCCGAGGATGGCACCGCCTATTGGGCTACCGATCAGCAGGCCTACGGCGATTATGCCGAAGCCCATGCCTATCCTGGTCCCTAGCTTCGACTTATCCTTGGTGAGAGGAAAGAAACAGACCGGGGGCATAGCGATGAACACTCCACTGAAGAACCCCGCGAGGGCCGTGACGGCGATGACTGCCCCTCTGCTGTGGGCCGCCATCATGCAGATCATCAACACGCCAGTGATGAGCGTGCACGGACCTATGACATTGAACGGGCCGACTTTGTCGGATAAAGCGTTGGGCAGGACTCGGCCGAAGCAAGATGCGGCGTTGAAGATGGGAACCATGTAAAAGGAGAGAGTCTCGTCAGTGAGCCCTTGCTCCTCCGGATAATACGAGATATAGAAGATGAGAATGCCGAGACCCATGAACCCGATGAAGGTAGTGGCGGTGAAGACCATGTAGGGGAAATCGGAGAAGGCAGACCAGTCGATCATGGATCGGGGCTTCGGCGCCCTCACTCGTATCCTCATGACGGCGATCGGGATGAGCAGAGTTCCGAGGGCAATGAACCCCATGACGCGGACCGACCAGGCGTATCCGATTGTATTTAGGAGCCGAGATAGGACGATGGGGTAGATGACACCGCCGACCGAGGATCCCGAGGATGCGAGACCAACGGCGAGACCGAGCTTGGTGGTGAAATAGGTCGGGATGAGGGACACGCACGGCACAAAGAGCATACCGGCGCCGAGGCCGACGCAGAGGCCCTGCGCAAGGATGACCTGCCAATATTGAGAGCAGAGGCTCAGCATCATGTGGCCGAAGACGATGCCAAAGCTGCCGATGATGAGCAGTTCCCGCAGGTAGCCCCGGTCGTAGATGGGGCCGGCGAAGACGCCACCCAGCAACACCATGAAGGACTGGATGGAGCCGATCCACGAAATATCCGATGACGACCGGTCGAACATCGTTCCCGGCCGCTCGTAGTAGGTCTGGAAGACCCCGAAGGCGTTGAGGATGCCCCACGTGTTGAAGAACAGCATGAAGCCGCCGACCACGTGAAGCCAAGCGACCAAGCCGCCGTCGGGTGGCGGGCCGGGGCCCCCCTGCGGAGCGGGAATCGGCGCAGCGACATTCTCGAGTTCCGTTGGGGAAGCCGTGTTCCTGTCGGCCCTGGTCTCGACCTTGTCGCCTGCGAGGGCAATGCTGCTCCCGTTGGATACGGTTATGTCTTCCGAGTCGCTCCCCGGAAGAGGGTGCTTCTCTGCCTCGTGCGACATGGCAGCGATGGGCTCGCGGTAGCGACAATATTACAAGTGCTTGGTTGTGGTTGTGGCGATGATTGCGATCGCAGTAGCAAGTAGCACGGGAGACACTAATACGGAGGGGACGGAGTGTTCGTTGGCGGACGAGAGGACAGTTAGTAGGCGCATAGAAGAAAGAAAATGAACGTGAAATACCCTTAGTATGGGTGATCGCGTCTCCCACGCAACGCTCGGATTTCGGAAATAGAACCTGAATCGGACCAATGCGTCTAATACTTAACCGATTGTATTTCTTTTTTCACCTTGTCTCATCATGGGAACCAACATGATGTCCCGACCACTGATAGGGGGGAGAGCCGACGATCTGCTCAATTCTCTACGACGGCTCCGTGGAAGTAGGGCCAACCCTCCCTCTTCCCCTCCCTCCCTAAGGTGTGCGTGGGTATGAGTGAACAGTATCTAGTTACCTACGTCGAAGGCAGGACAGGGACACGGGATGCCCGCTTACACGCCCGGCGCGCCAGACAAATTGTTGGGGACGGCTGACGGGGAACAAAAAGGGATGTAGATCAATGTGAGTTGGATAGAGACACGCAATTCCCTGGGCGTCTAGCCCATCCATCCCCTATTTTAAACCCGTGCGTGACTTGATGGCATATGCGGTAGATATGACTAGGTTCTCGATCTACTCACGCTCCATCTCAGGCTGGGAAGATTCTTCGTCTCATGAGGCATCCGATGGGTTGAATAACATCTACCTACGCGGTGACGGGGTGGCCCAGGTTAGTGGGAAGAGATCGTTTGCACCCTCGAAGGAACAAGCCGCCGGGGTCTTCTGAGATCGGCACTCGGAATATTAGCTCCACCTATGTACATGCATGTACATGTAGTGTGGTGCGGTATCATGTACTAAGCTGGAGAAGTGACGATGGGGAACTCCGCTCCGATGGCTCGGAAACCGCGGGTAACAGCGAGCGGGGGCGGTTGATTGGCTGGCCGAGGTCGGTAAGAAAGTTCCGACGGAGAAGATCGGCGTACTACATCATACAGTGCCAGTAGTGTCGGCACAGCTAAGGCTAGACTAGACTAAATACAGACACGATGTTCGCGCCAAGTGGGTCTGACAGCGGACCCGCAAAAGCTTACCTCTTTTTCTAAGCCCAGTGAGGCCTAGCCCATGATCTTTACCTCATATAGTTTAGCCCACTTAGGTAATCGGCCTCGCTTTACGGTGGTGTACTGCACAGATACGTTCGGTACCTTGCGCTACCAAGGTAGCGGTGGATTTCCGAGGTCCGAGTGTAAGCCTAGCACCTATCCCCGAAAGCTCGGATATAACCTCGCATCGCCAATCGGCATCTCCCACGCACCCGTGCTCGGCTTTTTCTGCTCTCAACCTGACATTCCCTGCCCTGCATCTCGATGACACCCTACTCTTGTCTATTAGCCTTTCTAGCTCCTGCCCCCACGACCCGGACGCCTAGATCGAGCAGGGCATACCTACCTGCGCCGGCCCTGGTGCGAGAATTCCCCGAGCTCTCGCCGCGGGCTCCCGCCGCGAGTCGTCGCGATGCTAGGTAGCGAGATCCTTTCGCCGTGATGGCAACGCCGCCGGCTTAGCCGGGGTTGAGAGGGAGAATAGCTGTCCCGCCGATGTGTGTCTCGTTCTTTTGGCAGACTTCTCGTACATGTGCTCGTGCATACTTGCGGTAGACGTCTGCAGTCATCTGTCCCGTCAGAAAGACGCCGGCCGACCCAAGCGAAGCGCGCCAGATCACACCCAGTTGGACGTGACACTATCCACGACTTCGGCAGCTCGGTTTTCGAGCATGTCCGCCTCCCAAATCTTTTCAAGACCCGTCGTTGATTCAGGTCAGTTCTTCTCTTAACACCCTTAGCCGCTACTAACACCACCGCCGGCAAAAACTAGGTAGTTTGCCTCATCTTATCACTTGCCGAATATTCTTCCCCGTCCCACGCTATAATCTCAGAGCTTTCCTGCCAGAGGTCGCACCACGGCCCCTACTCTAAGTAAAGGCGCTTAGACTAAGGCGGCAAGGAGCCGCCTGTTCGTGGTCGAGTCTGCTCTTGTCTAGGTGCCTGAGGCTGACGAGATTCTGGTCAAGACCTACGTCGTCGCTATTAACCCTAGGAGACGGCTCTCTTGAAGCTACCGGCTGGTGGTGGCCCCTAAACTGCCCCGCCTTCCCTGGACGGGACACTACCGTCGAGGCTGTCAACTTCCGCCACGAAGAGACTCGTTTGAAGTTGGCGGCACCTACGGTCCCTTCGTAGAAAACCGCGGGTAAACCCTTCATCGTCTCGGGCCGCCGGCCCCTCCAGCATGGGCGGCAATGCTATCCTGCTTGCCACCAACTCTGGGTATGAGGTTATCGGCACTTCTTGGCTTAAGAAATTCGGCCGTGTAAAGAAGTTCGGCGCTAGCCAGGTCTTCGACTACCACGGTAACACTGTCCAGGACGAGCTGGTCAGCACCTTGAAGGGCAAGATGGTCGCCAGCTTCCTCGACTGTGTCGGTAGCGTCCTTCGGGCACCCTGCAGCAGGTATCAATCAGTCAAGCTGGGTGGCAACAGCGCGATCATCTCGACCGAACGCGTCTGGGCCAACCTACTGGAGGTGTCCCTCTGTCGGCACTACACCGAAGGACAACTCAGTCAGTGGGGCTCTCTACAGCACATTCCTGCCGGCGGTGTTTAAGGCGAACACCTTCTCGTCGGCGCCCGAGCCTCTTATCAGTGGCAAGGGCGCGGGAAGATACAGGACGCCGTTGACGCCCCCAAAGGTGGCCGCTCGGCTAGGAGGCCGGTAGTCACGCTGTGAATGGAAGGATGCCCCTATAATGAAAACTCGATAGCACGTGCGCGCGACTGTGGCGGAGGGGAGGAGGAGAAGGGCACGGAGGTAGAGCTACTATAAGTAATTTAGGACGGGTTTAGCAGTACACTACGAGCGTCGCATGAAGCTCACCTGCCATCCGACACGAACCACTCGCGTTGATGGATACGTGTGCGTCGTCGGAACAAAATATAGTTTATATATGTAGAGGAAGATGATTAAAACACCATACTACTAACTCCCGTCTGGCTTTTCTCCTATTCCTCAATAGATGTACATAGGTTCCCGTCCATCACAGCCTATATTACGCGCAATGGGACTTAACCGACCAGGCAATTCTTTCTGCTCAGTTCTTGCTCTGGGTCCTCAGATGCATACCTACCCGCGTGAACGCCAAAGCGAGTGCCAGCGTATGTCCGCACTGACCCGCGAGCCATCAGAACGTCGAGAATGTACGAGTAGTAGCTGTTACTCACGAGACTTCCGATTACACTTACTTGCAGCGCCGTCCCGTTCCCCCTTTCCCCCTACCTAGCGATCTACCCCCTCATCTCTCGCTGGGTCGACGTCCTACCCGTCTACCTGATCTCGTGTTATCTAGCCCAACTCCCCCCCCCCCCCCCCCCCAACGTCGTTCCATTGACTTAGAACGCCAGAATACGCGCCGAATCCGGCAGAGGGATTCGGACCACCATGTTACCAGTCGCCCCGTAGTCAGACCAACAAAGGGTTCATATCCGTTCACGCCAATCAACCCACGTATCCTATACTGCTAAAATCCTGGCTTAATTCACCTATGCAATAATTGTAGGTATGTAAAACAAAGGTGCTGGAGGTACGGGTAAGACGAACATAAAGCATCACCATATAGCAACCTAATTACTACCGGGTGGAAAGGACTGACTGACTTAACGAGATTGACGATATAGGGGTGAGAGGGGCACAGAGTCGACCGCTCCCAGATGAGCAAACAAAGGAACCCGCGAAACAACAAGGCCTGGCACGCAGCAACAGCATACCACGCCATAAAGGACTATCGGACAACACATAATAACAACCTTATTCCAGCGTCGCGCATGGTGGCGTGCCGAGACATATAAGTTCTTGACTTCACCCACACACCGACTCTGGATATCTACTGCAACGTCTACCTGGCGGTGTGCGTATTATTTATTTATTGCGCCGTCCCTTGTCTAAGGACTACAAGTGCCCTGAAGGGAGAGCAGAGGGCGGAGGCATGAAACCAAAAGCATTGACCTCTCGCCACCCCATCCCTCGCAGGTCTGTGTTCTTCGGCCCCGACGAGATGAGCAGGACGGGCTAAGCAGATCGGACGGGATTGAGCTGGGGGACGCACGATATGCTGCCCGTCACACGTGAGCATGGCGTATACATGCGTGTATGTCTCGTCCGCCGGCACGTAAGATGGTAGGTAGAACAGAGGGCCTGGCGCGCATATAGAGTGCGTGTATAGCTGTAGGTATCCTAGGTTTTGTCTCTACATACGCCTGCACGCATACACGTGAGTGTATATATCATATGTAAGCGTATACATGTATACACAGATATATATATATCCATAGGTATGTATATGTGGAGGCACATCTGCATACATGGTTGATAGGGCTGGCTGCTAGTCTGATCTGGGCCTCAGATAGGTATAGCTTGTAATGTCTACTTGCCCGCCTAAAAAGCATGCAACCTCGACAACTTGCTCGGCCGAAATCCCATGCGCGTACACAATAACACGACCTAGTTGTGCGGGATGATCTGTCCAGTAGACGAGTGATAGTAGGATAGGAGGAGTGGTGGAAGGAATAAAGAGGAGCACGAGGGCGCCGGGAAAAGTTGAGAATGGGAAGAAACTATCCCCTTGCTCCTTTTTCCACACTTACCCCCCACCTGCTGAGCTGCGCTAGGGAGACGGAGGCTCAGAAAACAGCTATCTCAATTTGGTCCTCGGCCACATTCTATTCCTTTCTTCATTTTCTTCCAGGCTTGCTCGTTTCGAGACAGGGGTGGCAGTGGTGGCAGTAAGATTCTCGCCTCCATGCAAGCGGGTAGCACATAAAGGGCAACCCCCTGGTCGGTCTGTTTTCGTGACTCGATCTTAGGGTCATCTACTTGCTCCCACCGACTGCGGGTGCTCGTGGACAGACGGCATGTCTTGGTATAAGCTAACATACCCCTCTACGGACCACCCCTTTGCGGACCGGGTCTTTTTATATATGTTTACATATATACGAGTTTTCCCTATAAAAAGTTAGGGGAAAAATCGGAAGAATCTAATATTCGCTTACGTAATTGATTTACTTAATTAAATTACTATATAGGATTTTCGAATTAATTCTTTTATGATATATAAAGTTAATAACAGTTTTTATCATTTAATAGTTTTCTTAATAGTTTTATATATAAAATATGTTAAAACACTTTGTGCTTCTCTAGGTTTTCGTATCGAAAACCTAGAACCTCTCCAAAAGCTAGGAAAAAAGGGATAAGTAGAAATCGACGCTTAATTAAATTGCAAAAAGAAATTGATTAGCAATCGACTCTTGATTAAACGAGAAGAAACTAACCTATATTGAACGGGGAGAAACTAACCTAGATTAAACAGTAAGAAACTAACCTGGATAAATTAATTCGTATATAAATAGAATTAAAATAAGCAAGAAATCGACGCGTTAGTAAGTAAATAGTAATGAACGTATATATTATAGTTTTATTAAATGTATTGCTTTTAAATAGGCCGTACAAACTTTTAACTAATTGAAACAGCGTATACGAAATTTCAGCTAATAAAAATAAAGTATCCCCTAGATGATACCTCTTTACAGAGTTACTTACAAGGTTATTTACAGGGGTATTCAACCCCGTAATTAATTAGCATAACAAGGAGTTTGACGTATTATAACTATCCTTCAGACAGAAAAATACTGGTAAATTTATTATCTATATTATAAATTACTACTTTATTCTTTATTGGATTTAAATAAAGTTATTATCTAATTTTCGAAAAAAGGATTATTATATATTTTTATTTTTATCATACTATAATATTTTTATTTAATTTAATGTTACTTATCAAGACATTATTATAATATAAGTTTGTAATATAATTTTATATAAAAGTAAGAGTCTGTTAAAGAAGTGTGATTCTTACTATATAAATAGGTATTATTTTAAAATAAATACTTAAATACTTAAATTGATTAAAGAAATTAAATAATTAAATAATTGAAGTTATTATAATAAAATAAAAAATAAATTTCGTAAAAGTATTTATTTACTACATTATAGTTTTAAGTATTATATAAGAATCCTATTACTATATAATAAAATAAAATTATAAAAGTAGTATTTTTTAATATAATATTACGTAGAGGTTGCGCCTCTTTGTTGCTTACCTCAGTAATAGGAGCTCTTATATATACGCTTCTGTTACTTCTATTTCTTTAGCTAATTCTTAAATAAATCTAAGACCTTTTCTCTCCTTTCGCTTCTCCTCCCGTTGCTTGTAAGATAACTTATTACGCGCGCTTTCGCGTACGTAGCTCCTTTAGATAGCTGCGTAACAGTTATAAGCCCGGTTAGCGCTCCAAGGACCTCTTTTCCTTCCATAGAGCCGCAAGGCGCGCGCGAACGTTCAGAGCTCTTCGATATCTCGTCTCTCCGAGCTTTATTTCTTCGACTTTCCTAGCTCTCGATACCTTCGTCGCTCGCCTCAAAGCTCGACTTAATCAGGCAGTAAGGCACGGCGGGAGGCAGCCAGAAAATCCCTCAGTCTCTTTTTCCTTTCTCCTTTTCTCCGACCGCTTCGCGTCTCGACGAACGGGGTATTAGTTGCTCTAATAAGTAATAATCGCTCTAATAAGTAACGCCGTTTCGGAATCGCCCCTAACTAACTAGCTACAGGCCTTAACTCGCTTTAGGGGGTTAATCTGACGTCGGAGAACGGGGACTAAGGGGAGAGAAAAAAGCTCAGTAATCAAGGAATCGGTCTCTCCGAAGAGAGCTCTAGAGAGTAATCGGCTCTCGCTCTTTTCGCCGGCTGTAACAATCTCCTGCTACATGGCAAAACCGCCCTAGCTCCCGAAAACACTACCTCCTTTTTCGGTCTCCTACTTCTACGATCGACAGTAGCCCGAGAGAGTAAGAGAATTAAGGTAACGAACCTACTGGGCTCGTACGAAAGCAACCTACCCGGTATCGAGAAACACCGCGAACTCTTAACTAAATTACTCATAGCTAGAAGACGTAAACTAGGAGCGTATACCTTGCTAGTAACTCGCCGGTTACGTAAATCGTCTATTAATTAGCGGTATTTACAGATCGAGGCTTACTTTCAGAAAGGTTAATTAACCTCCGATCGTAAATCGATTATCACTAGAAAAAGTTACTCCTAGGGTTTCAGAACTACTTTTAGAAATACCTAATCAGCTTTCTGATTACAGGTTTTAAGTTCCCGGGAGGTATTACGCCCGGGTAAGCGATCTTGAACTCCTGCTGATTATATCTAAGCCCGTTTAATATACGGCTTATAAGGTACAGCAAAAGAAACTCCCTTCGCTCTTTAGCCGGTTATACCTAAGCTAATTCATACGGCTAGTAAGATACGGCAAGAGAGCTTCCCCTATGCCCTTTTATAAGTTACTCTAAAGCTCGACTTCATTAGGCAATAAGACATAGCAAGAAGGCTTCCTCACGGCCCTATTACTCTCCTACTTCCCCTTAATTTCGTTCCTAGAAAGTAAACAGCGGCGAGCTACGATAATAGCTCGCCCTTAGGATACGAATGGGAGAGAGGGCTTTTTATTATTAATACAGATACTTTTACGCTGTTTAAAGCTTTCCAATAGCACTACCCCTAAGAGCCCCTACCTATTTAAAAGGTACTTTCGAGGACCCCTGTCTCGCGCGCCTCTTAAATCTTAAAGTCTCTTCAAATAGTCGCTCGTCCCTACTAATAAGGTCCGTATAGCGAAAAAGCTACTACCTATTTATTATTAGAGAGCTTAATGACTATATCCCTCTTACTCCTTATATACTACGCCGTCGAAGGAAGATAGCTAAGTAATTAACGAATAAGGCTTTAACAAGAGGCTAATATATCGAAAAAGAGAGGCCCAATTCTTCAGAGAGTAATGGACGATGATACTACTAGGCTCGTCTCGTACGAAAGCGACATACCTAGAAAAGCTTCCCGCCGCATATTACGGAGGCTAACGGCTCTTAAACGAGCTTTTCCTTTATTGGTTTAGTTTTTAAAGTAGCTTCTCTATATATAATAGATAGCTCGTCTTTATTTTCGCGCCGTATATAGCTCTTCTTACCCTATGTAAGAAAGTAGTTAACGTCGCTTAGACGCCGTCAACTAAGGGGTATGTTGCGTAGAGGTTACGCCTCTTTATTACTTACCTTAGCAATAGAAGCTCTTATATATTGTAGTGGTGCGGTGGATCTAGGCCACGTAGCCTTTTAGATGTATATTTATATGAGTCGCGCACTCGTATTTTCATCAGTTAGACTTAGACCTATAGCTATCACAGTAGCCATTAGCTATTCACTCGTTTCTTGCCATGCCTTTCTAACCATCTTCGTTACCTTTCTTTTCTAAGTCACTCTTCTTTCCCAGTGAACAGGAGCAGCGTGGGCACGCTGACGGAGGCACGAAACAAGGACTGCCCAACTGCCAACAACTGGCCCAGTGCCGATCAACCAAAGATCACAGCTGTAAACAGCTGTAATCAGTTGATCGGCCAGCTGAAAACGGTAGCTGGGAAAGGGACTAGAAAAGGGCAACGAGGATCGCGAGAAAAGGTATAGCAAGAAACGAGTGAATAGCTGTAGGTCGTGATATCTGTGATCTCTATAGGTCTAAGTCTAACTAATGAAAATATGAGTGCGCGACCCATATAAATACACATCGAAAAGGCTACGTGGCCTAGATCCACCGCACCACTACACCAGCTGCCGTTTTTAGCTGGCCGATTAACCGATTACAGCTATTTACAGCTATGATCTTGGTTGATGGGCACTAGGCTAGTTATTTACGGAGTCGCATAGCTACAACTGGGAAAAAACTCCACTTTTCGGTCGAACGCCCTAGTTTTATCGT